ATGCGTGTGCTTTCCGCTCTCTCCCATTCTCTCGCGCGCGCTCTCGCTCTCAGTGCCGCCCTTTTTTAGTACACATTCGAGAGACGGATGCTCCGAAGCACAGAGAGAGCGTGTCGTATTTTTTGTAGCTTTGTCGCCCGTGTAGCTAATGGCTGTAGCATGGATGCTGCTGCTGCTGCTGCTCCTTTCCTCAGTACTCAGTCGTGCGCGCGTCAAACAGGACGAATACGGCGGACACAGCGCCTTCTCTGTGTGTGTTTTGCTTTCGTCACGGGGGGGGAAAAACGGAAAATGGAAAACGCAGAGCGACACCGCTACCGACACTGACACCGAGACACCGAAGATACCGAAGATAGCGATACGTACCCCGAGACCACGGAGACCACGGAAGAAAAGACGACGTCGCGTAGTCCGTGTCCGTGTCCGCGTCCGTGTCCGTGTCCGAAACTGAATCTGAAGCCGAGAGTCGAGTGATAAAAGAAAAGGCAACAACCCGGGTACCCGGGTATCCATCCATCCGCTTGCCCCTTGCTCCTGCCACTTGCCGCTTTCTGTGGCATTACGTGATAATAAAGTAGCGGCAATCAGTTTGAAAATTGTGTGCCACCGGCTTATGCAAATTGCAAAAAAAAAAGTCTCTTAAGAGCCAATTCTCAAATAATTCTCTCTGGCCCCAAAACCACAACAACAACAAAAAAAAGTTGAGCCGCAAAATCCGCCATTTAAGTGTAACGTTGTGTGTGACCAACAACCAAAAAAAAAAAAAAAACAAGGGGCAAAACCCAAAAGAAAACTATAGGAAAAGCCAAGTAAAAACCAAGGAAAAAAGAAATATCTTAAGGGGCATTTTCCGCAAATGAACAGCGACAACAGCGAATGGCAACAGCAGCAACAGCAACAGCAGCAGCAGCAGCAGCAGCAGCAGCAGCAGCATGGCCTGCTTTTTTGTAAGTTGTCGCAATTTGTTGAGGCGCCCCCCCTCCAGCAAAGCCGTACTGCCAGACAGAATGACTTAGTAGAGGGAGGGGTCCCTGTCCCTGCCATTCCATGTACTCGTGTATTGATGAGCATTAATTCTATAAACAGCGGAATTTGTGCTCATTATTTGTAACTTTGGTATATTTAGCATTTGTTGGCATGGCATGGCACGGCACTCCATGGAACATCCTCCACATTCCACCCAGCACTACAAATTATCAATTATCGAGACAGCTGTCGTCAGAGCCGACTAATTGAGGCAAGATTCTTAGGCGGAATACTCCAAATTATGGCAATTAAAAAGGCATAAAAGATTAGTTCTAATTAAATATGCTTTGCCAATGCAATAATTTGGAAATAAATAAATAAAAAAATAAATAAATAATAAATTATTATACAAAATAATAAATTTAAATAATGTTTAAAAATGGAAGTTCTCCATGGAGCTAGGAAAGCAATCCGAACATTAGTTTTCAATTATATTATTTATGCACTTAAGAGCGCATTGTTGTGTGTTTAATATTGTTCGAGTGGACCAGCTGTTCGAATAGCCAAACTATGCTTTTTTTTGTTGTACTTCCGATCATAATTATGAACCGATTTCAGTCAGATCTTGCAATTTAGCAGCTATAATCATTCTTTATGATTCCTCGCTTGCGGCTTGCTCGTTTTTCTTTGAAGTTTGTGAAACCTTCAACTGCAGTGCTCCAATCTGCTGTAAAAAAATACCGAAAAATTTAATACACATCTCTCTTCCTACCTGAAGCCACTTTCAATTATTGGCCCCGATATCCGTTCTGCCCGGCCGTGGCATGACATTGGCATACTAATCACCTCATTGAAATGCAAATGGGAGAGCGTAAAGAACGGCCAGGCAGGCCCCATATATATTATGGATTTTATCTGCGGCCTAATAATTTTCCTGTTACATTTTTATCTCTCGTCGGAATTTGCTAAATACCTGCCGTCATAGCTTTTTGTTTTTGTGCCCCGGGGCACGTGCCCCAAAAGTCAACGAAGAATACAATTTTTTTGCTTTTCGCCCCCTTAGTTTTTCCCTCATTTCTGCTCTTACAAAAGGGACATTTTTGAAGGCAAACCGTACCCCGATGCCTATCTGCCACTGAAATATACACAAAGGTCAGAGGCTGCAGATTCCTTTTCTTTCTCGGCTTCTGTGTCCAGTATTTGTATCTGCAGGCATCGTGTTAAGTTGCGAATGAATAGAGGAGAGTCCGAGAGTAAAAAGTAATCAGCAAGTGGCTACAAAATAATTATTTAATTAACGAAAGTGCCTGCCTGCCACGAGATGCAGCCAGCCTACAGCCTACCTTCAGCAGCAGTAGCAGCAGCAGCAGCAGACGAGTCGGAGTCTTCTTCCTGGTCTAAATGCCCATTCATTCGTTTTTTTGTTTAGGCTTCTAAATAATCCAAGCAGGAGGAACCCCAGCAAGAGGCGACTCCGACTCTCGGACTCACTCGGCCACTGCCACTTAAACGTTCGTGACGTTCAACTTTTAGGCTTCTAATTTAAATTTAATTAAGTGGGGATCATTCGTTTAATGTGGAAACTGGCCTGCTCCACGTCCTGCTCCAGGCTCTTTGCCTTTCTTCTGTTCCACTCCTCAGGCTCCCACACTTTGCATTAGTTTTTGCCATCGTCATTATAACGAATAAACTTTCAAGTGGCGGCGGCCCAAAAGAGTGAAAAACGGAGCTAGGCCTGGTCCTGGTCCTGCTCCTGCTCCTGGTCTTGGTATACAATGAATATTAAGCGCCTGTTAACCAATTTTTTCCCAGTGCCCCGCTAAATTATCTCCCCGTCCGTGACCGTCCATTCCCGTCCGATGCCGTCACCGATGATGAGTAAGCTCATTTTATGGCAATGTCGCCTGCGTCCCCAAAGCCCCCAAATGGCTACAGTTCCACCTTCCACTTCAATCCCCCGTGACGGCCCCTGCAAAAATAGACACCCAACAGACACTGCAACTTTTCAGTCAAGTGGTTTTATGTTAGGTTAATGAATGAGCCAACGAATGAACGAATAATGAATGAACGAATGAACGAAGGAAGATAGTCGCAAAGAAAGGGGTTCTCATGGGCGGTTCTCGTGGATGTAGTTCCCTGCAATAATTATATGATAAAAGCATATTTACGGAACAGGCTTCAAAGTGGAAAATTTATGCACTAGGGGAAAATACTCGTTTGGGGCGAAAATATGTTCAGAATAGGGAGAGATCTCAAGGTGTGTTGTGGCTACCCCTCTCTGACTTTAATAACTCACAGCTAGGATTTTTTTTATTTCTGTCATTTCCGTGCTGGAAGTTGCTACGAAATATCCTTAAACGCAGAATCATAATGAACAATCATAAATTGATATATTATGCGATTAAATTTTCTAATCTGTTAAATTTTTGTAGAAAGTTGATTGTTTATTAATCCTTCTTTAAATCCCTTGCAGAAAACTTTTTATTTTAACTCAAAGCCACACAAAAAACATTCGGAATAATGTAATTAATAATCACTTATAGTAAAGTTAATTAATTATTAATGTTGTGTTTATATAAATAAAAAAAATATAATAACTGCAACTATATGCAACCAATGCGTTTTTGTATCTACATTTAAAATTCCAAAATGCACCTTTTTGATTTTTGCCACAAGTAAATTTTAAAGTATTAATATTCCTTTCCTTAACATGCGAAATTCCAATGAAACAAAATAGCCCCCACTGCAGTGTGCTCTGTCTTGTGTGCTTGTGTGTGTGACGTGCCCCAAATAAGCCGATTTTAAAAACAATTTCAAAAATTAAACCACTCTCTAAAGTCCAATGCCATGCGATTGTAAAGCCGAGAAGGGAGGAAAGAGCAAACCAGAAATCCCAAAAATAAAATTCCAATAAGCGATGGGTGGCCGTGTGGCAGGGTAGATTGAAAAGGGAGAGGGTAACCGGATGAATATACAAGGGAAACGGACATTTTTTTGAGGGAACACTGACATCAGGCGGAGGGTGGGGATATAGCCTGACAGCCAACCATGCAGCCATTCAGTCACTCATTCAGTCACTCGCGGGGTCTCTGAGCTTTTGCAATTTTAAATAATTAACAATAAAACGCATACAAAAAAAACAAATGCAAACAAAAAATAAAGCAAATAAACACCAACAACAAAAGCAAAAGAAAAACAAAAGCAAAGAAAAAACAATGCCATAAAAGACATTTAAAATAAGCGCAAAATCAGCAGAAAAAAAAACATTCAGCGAAGCGAAAGGATAACGGCGCAGGGTGGTAACAGGTGTGGTAGATGGGTGGGGGGGGGGCACACACTGCACACGGGGCAGAGGCAACAATAAGGGACACAAGCTGCTTGCTGCTGCTGCTGCTGTTGGTGGCACAGTGACACACTCCACACGCGACGCACACAAAAACAGAAACAGAAACAGAGACAAAGAAAGAGACAGAGAAAGATCCCGCGAGTTGAATGCCGCACAGACACACACACACAGAAACACCTGCATATAGGCTGGCGGAGAGAGGGGTAGGGGACAGACATATTTGCATACAGTTCACTGAACAGACACACACTGAAACAGTCACCGGGGGGTGTCAGTGTGGCAGTGAGGCAGTGTGGCAGCAACATAAATGATGCTCGCATGAGCAGAAAGTGTATGGCGTGGTGGCGGGGGAGGGGCAGACTGTTTCCCCAAGTTTTGTGCCATTGTGGCAGGTGGCAAAGACACGTGCAAGTCAACGTGTGTGTGCCCCCCGTGAATGCCCCTAATTTGAACCAATAAACAGGGACACTCGCACGCCTGAAAGAGGACCCACTTTTGGACACATAATGTCCATGATTAACCCCTTCCAAAAATACTAATATATTCCTTACTCTCACTCCCACTCTCTCTCTCTCTCTCTTGTTCTTCCCTCTAGAAAACGCAACCTCTACAAATTCCGCAGCAGCAGCAGCACTAAGTGCAGCAGCAGCAGCAGCAAAAGGCTCACAAATGCCAGCAACGACAGCAGCAGCAGCAACAGCAGCAACGGCAACGGCAACTAAGTGCAACAACAGAAATTAGGCAACAGCAAGAAGAAACCGTCGAAGCAGAAGCAGCAGAAGACTCTGCCTGGCCAGAGTCAGAGTGAGGCAGGCAACAATAAGGGGCAACAGCAGCAAGCAAGCCAGCAACAACAAAGGGGGCAAGCAACATTGAACAGGCGGCTGCAAAATGCGCCACGGCTTAAAGTTGAGCTGCCTTTGGCCAAGCTTTTTATTATGGCTAACATGGAGCCAACGCAGCACCAGCAGCAGCAGCCACAGCAGCAGTAGAGGTGGTGGAGGAGGAGGAGGAGGTGGTGGCATTGGAGGAGCCAGCGCACAGCCATCATTAACCGAGAAAATCCCATTAGGTGAGAGTGTAAACCATATGCCCCTAACCCAACCAACCACTACCCCAGCGATGCATTTGACAGGCGACTCCAGGAACCTGCTTCTGCCCCACACTATGCTGTGCTTCTTTATAGTCCCAGTCCTAGTCCTAGTCCTGCTTTTCGTTTATTTTTAAAACCATCAACAGCGCCAGCCCCAGGCTCAGTTGCAGCTGAAATAATCCTCAAGGCTCTCTCCCTCTCTTCTGACCATCTTTTGGTGGCATCAAATTTAAGTTTCTGCCTGTAAATACAACGATCATTCGCTCTCCCTTTGTGGCAAGATTCAGTTTCATTTGAGCATATCTGGTATTTCTTTTGAAAACTGAAACGGCAACGCTTATTAGCGTTTAGCTGCAGAACGCCGCTTGTCTGCCACTTAACAATTGACGCTCCGCGACAGCCAGCAGAGCAGTCAGTAGGAGATTGAGGCAGGCAGCCAGCAGAAACAGTCACTGGAGATTGTGGCAGGCAACGGCAGCGAAACAAAGTTCGCATCGCATCTCGCAAAAGCAATTACAAAAGTTTAAAGTGCCTTTTTGCTTTGAACTTAATTGACAATTTCAATGCCGTGCCTCCCGAAAAAAAACTTTGCCATCCGCAATTTTAACAGCCATCTTTTTGCATGTTTCTCTTGTTCACTCTCTTCCCAGGTGCTATCTTTGAGCAGGGTACGGATGAGGTGCAGTCGGCCTTCAAGTATGCGATGCTCAATCACAATCTGAATGTCTCCTCGCGAAGATTCGAGCTGCAGGCCTATGTGGATGTCATTAATACAGCGGATGCCTTCAAACTATCGCGATTGAGTGAGTTTTTTTTTTTGCCAACTGAATGAATGAATATTAATGATGGAAAATGCAAAATAATTCTATGGAAAGAAATATCTTGTTACGCGTGCAAATTGTTGAATTATGCGCATTTTTATCACCAATTTTATACATCCAATTTGTTCATCATTTTCTCTCGTTTCTTTCTCCATGCAGTTTGCAATCAATTCTCGAGGGGTGTCTACTCCATGCTGGGCGCCGTCTCCCCCGACTCCTTTGATACCCTGCATTCCTATTCGAACACCTTTCAGATGCCCTTCGTGACGCCCTGGTTCCCAGAGAAGGTGAGAGACATTAATAAATATTAAAGAGAAAACTCTCCTCCAGTTCGAAGGCCGTTTGCCTATTTAAATATGAAATATTAATCATACGCACGGTTGACTCTAGCAAAATAAATTTCTTAACCTTGAAAATCCGTAACCAAACACACACGAGAGGGGGGACACAGCTGGGTCACAAGGATCCCAGGTCTTAAATTTATGAGCCTCACAGGTACAAATCATTATAGGAGCCACTGTAGGAGCCATTGTCCGTAGCCATAGTCCCTCCCACTTGCTTCTAATGATGTCCCACCGCCCGTGTGCGCTTTAAAAAATTTATGAAACACAAGCACACACACACACATACAGTTTTTGGCCCCTCGTTTAGGCCAACGAGGACGAGGACGAGGCCGAGGCCGGGTGAGCCTATAAATCAAGCAAGCAAATGCCCCTAAAGCAGCAGAGGAACGAACAACACAATGAGCACTCAATAATGATTCATGTTTACTAACTCTCATTCTCCTTTGCCATCTTCTCCCTGTGTTCTGCTTTCCATAATTTTCGCGTTTTTAGGTGCTTACGCCATCGTCTGGCTTTCTCGACTTTGCCCTCAGCATGCGACCGGATTATCATCAGGCAATCATTGATACCATACAATTTTATGGCTGGCGCAAGATAATTTATCTATACGATTCACACGATGGTAAGTAGCAGAACGGCGCACGTCGTGCCACGACACTAAGATACCCTGCACGCAGATCCTCCATATATCGAATTAAAATGTCCCTAAAACTATACACCACTTCCCACTGGCTGTTGAAATTGATGCAAACGAATTGAATATACCCCTGAATACCCTTTGAGTACGACAGGGTATAAATATATTTGTATAGGAGGGAAGCGAAAGCGGAAACGTACCCCCAACGGAGTCAATAATAATAATTTTACCCTCATTCTATGCAAACTACTTATAGCAGCATTTCTCTCTATAGCGTTCTCTCTCTCTCTGTCTCTCTTTCTCTCTGTGGGCCCCCCCTCTGGCTTTCACCCTGTTTTGTAAATTTACTTTTGTTATAAGTTTCTGCAAGCATTTTCCATTTGCTCGCTGCATAAATAAAGTTTAATGACACAGCAGACACCCGACCCCTGAACCGCACCACCCCACCCCTTGCTGTCGACTCTGCTGACATGATGCGCCATTGGCAGTCAGACAATTGGTTTATGTGGCTACTGGAGGCAGCCAAACGATGAACAGGGAGAGAAAGAGCTGGTAGGGACAGACAGAAAGAGAGACAGAAAGACAGAAAAAGAGAGAAAATGCTGGGAGGGACAGACAGAAAGGACACCGGGCCAGCCATCCGTCCGGACAAACTGTTAGTGTCTGGGCGCTTGCATTATTATTATTAATGAATGCCACGTGAAAATCTTTTTGCGGTCGCGCCAACAGGCCAGCACTCAATCAATTCAAGCGACAGACAGGCCACAGAGTCTCTCGTCTCTCTCCCATCCGCATATCCATTTGTATTTGTATTTGTATCTGTATCTGTGTCTGTGTGTTTGTGTTAATCTCTCATCCACCCCCCATTGTCTGGCTGTGTGTAGCCGTGTCTCTGGACAAGGCTGAGCCAACTGTTTGTGTCTACTGCCACTCAATCAATTCCACATTCCACAGGCGCATAATTCTAATAATTCTCTGACTTCTAGATGGCAAATCAATTTTGATTCGCATCGGCCCCTACTCATGGCTAATATGCCCGATTCCTCAATTAATATTTGACAATTCAAGCGAGCTATCCCAGGCCCCAAGCGCATGCGATTTGTTCAGCCGTTTTTCATTTTTCTACTTAGTTTATGGCCATGTTTACACGGCCGCCCCCAGGAGCGGGCGGGTGGCTAGGGTCAGGACTAGGCCGAAACAGAATCGAATGGAATGGCAGAGGGCAACTTCTGGCCCAAAGTCTGGCACGTAACGCCTTCGCTTTCGCCAGTTAACGGCCTTTTGTTTTGTCGGGCCCCAAAAAACAACGCATGTGGGGCCCTGGCTCTGGCTATGGCTTCGTCTTTTGTTTATTCGAAGCGCCAACGAGTTTATTACAAAGAAATAGGCTAAAAGAACTATTTATGGCCAATGGCCGGGCCAAAAGCTTTAGATACAATTTTTCGAGTGGTTTGTACAACTGGCAGCGGGCGGTGGCAAAGGCAATCACAACAGAAACAACAATCGATGCAAAAACACAAACAATATTTTGTTATGGGTTTTTGGGGCCTTCCTTTTGCTCCATGGAGGGAGTGAGAGAGAGATGGAGTGGGCAGGGGGAGCAGCTTATAAGTTTATTCCCGGACTTGTATTTACGACTTGGCCAAGAAATTGGCTGCTGCTTACACACACATTTTCCTTTTAGCTGTGAAATTATTGTATTTGGCCCGGATGCCCGATGCCCGACACCCAAAAAAATTCCAACATGTGCCAGCCTCCAGCTATCGTACATTATAATATATTGTACATATGTATGTATGTATATCTATATACATACATATGTATATGTATGGCAGGAGTTTGTATGTTTATGTTTGTGTTCACTAAAAAACACTTGTGCCGCCTGCGGTTATTGGATTTTTCCCTCAAAGCGGGAAAAGTAGGGGCGGACTCCCCCCATACACAGATCATCAAAGGAATCTATGAAGGAGAGATGGCTTTAAAAGTACGAGGATTATGAAATAATCTTTGTACATATTTTTATGGGTACAGCACACTTTAATGGATATGATTGGGGATTCATTCTGCAGATTCGATTTGCAAACAACGCGAACCAAAAGATTTTTAGGAGATTTGCAGAATATAGGGTACATATTTGCAGAGATCAAACACCAAGATCAACGAGATAAGAAAGAGCCGAGTGACTACATATATTTCTCTCTCCCCTTAAATCTGCTATTAAATGCAATAAGAATATCAATATAAATCCCCCTTCGTTCTGCATTTTATTTGCTGAGAGCGAGGCTCTGTGCTGGTTTTTGCCGAAAGAGAGAAAGAAGTGAACTGCGGCAGTTTGTATTGCGTGAGAGTAGGCGCAAAGAAACAGAAGTGCAGTCGCAGGCACGATCGAACATGCAAAGAGAACATGCAAAAGCTCGTAAACAGAATCGTCCGAGTGAATCGCATTGCTGTAGCTTTTGCTGAGAGCGCGTTAAGCAGTTGCTGAGAGAAGCAAAGCTCGTAAATCAAATGAAGACCAAGAGATAAGACAATTGTGACTGCACTGCGCCTCCAGAAAAAAAATAAAAACAAAAAATTTAAGAAATGGACCAGACACTGGAGTTGAACTTTAACATATTTATGTACATACATATTGTACATTTATATGTACACATTTTTAATTTATTAGATCCATAACATTTTCTGCATGATATATTTTGGTTGCGTATGGAAATGAAGCAGTTGGCATGTCTAACTGTTCGTAGCAGCAGCTGTCTCGCCTCCAATCAAATGTCAAATGAGTCCAAAGCATAAGCAAATTTTCGCACAGACATAGACATCGACAGGCGTATCGTTGCCAAAGCAGTGCCACATGAATTGCAAAGTATTTGCACGTCCCAGCCGAGCACAAAAACAAATGACGTACGTTGGGCGGTAAGGTGGGGAGGAGTGACAGCTAGCGCTGCTCATTTGGCCAGTTTCCAGCTAGATTTTTTTTGTGGTAGTATATTTTGCGGTTGGTTGAACATTAAATGATTGCTTTTTGTGGCCTTTTATTTGTGTTTATATATGAGAATATTATTTCCGCTGGGGAAACGCACCATTTCCATCCAACCCACGCAGCTCCGCAGATCATCCGACCCCATCTTTCAATATGGAAAAAAGCATACAATCAACAGTCTGCAATGAAAGTAAATGTCTTACTTACACATACTTTCACTTACACACACAGCACACGCCTGTGTGTGTGTGTGTGTGCGTCCTGGCAGATGGTGAAAATGAAGTAGGGAATGTACAGACGTACGCACGAATAAAAGAGGAGAAAATGCGATGGAAAAAATCGGAATGTAGGCGTTTCTCCCCATTGCCGTGTTAACAGCACATTGACTTTCCTGTGAAATAAAATTTATTACTGGGAGGCTGGGCAAGAAAAAAAATAAACATTCCACACAGTTACAGTTACAGTTACAGATACAGATACAACTACAGCTACAACTACAGAATTGTGCGTGAGATTGCTGTTTGCCGCCGCCGCTGGGATGTTAAGGATGTGTGAAAATCTGCTTGCTCATATTGCAATGAATACGTCAGCAGTTCGGCAGGGCCAGAAAACGGCAGGGCCAGACTCTCAATATGGTTTATTAAAGATACACCCCCGACCCCCAGCAGGTACCACCGCCCCCTACCCTTCTGGTGGCTAATCAATGACCCAAAGGCGAGCGACCCAAACCCCCGAAAATACGTAACTGCAGAATTATGTAAATGGTTTCGTTTATAGATGAAAGATTTGATTGTCTTCTGTCCATACCAACACCAAACCCATCCCAGAAAGACAATCAAATATGTATCTTCGATTTGAGAGGTTTGTGTGCATATAAAAATCTGAAAGGAATCTGACGATAGAAAGTGGGGGGGCGGCAAGAACATCATGAATAATAAGCAAACGTTGATGGTTCATGGCACTTTGGCCACGTAGAGAGAAGGAGAGATGGGAATGTGCTACGCTACATAATTTAAATCACAGGCTGAATATTTGCATAAACTGCGTCAAATGGCAGCGCAAATTGCTTTAAGACAACAACAGCCAAAAGGATGCCAGAATGTGGGGGCTACTGCTCCATAGTCCTGGGATAGGAAGTCCTGCTTCATACTGTGGCTGGTTTTCCGCTACTGCTGCCATTCCAGCAGGACTGCCATTAATTTAACCATTATGGGGTTTACTGCGCTTTCACTTTCATGTTATTTGATACTTTTAATGCTGCCTGTGGCCACCCACTCCCCTACTCCGCACTCCGCCCTAGTTCCCCACTCGCAGTCTCCTGTTCCTGTTTCGAGGCCATTGAAAACATATGCGCAAAGCCTTTGAGCTTGTCAGCATAATTTTCCCAGTAACCGAATGAGGCCGACGAGGACGCAGAACGAACAGGACGAGCAGGACGCAGTTTTGCAAGTAATTAAAGCAGCAAAGTTTTTGATAGCACAACAAGCAGCAGTCAGCAGGCAGACAGGCTGCGGCAGGCAGGGACAGCAGGCAGTATAAAAAACTCGAGCCCTAACAAGCTGCTAAATTAGGGCGTGGCACTTAAAGCGTAGAAGTTTATTTTTTTATTCCTTGCTGCTATCCTAATTACGGAGGGCAGCAGTAGATCAAGTTGAAGCGATTTAATGCATAAATTAATGGGGGTTTATTTTGGAAATTATTCGTTTTGGAGACGAACGAGCGAGAGCTCTCTTCGTCCCTTCAATTTCCCTTCCAGGAAATCATTTTCTTCAATTACTTTGTCCAGAAATATCAATGGAAGGGGGGGAGAGAATGAATGTGTATGAGTGTGAGTGGGTGAAGGAACTTCCTTATAATAATTACATTTGTTTATCTCTTCTTTTCCCCCCTCCCTCGAACTTTCTGCATAAAATATGCTTGGCAAATGTCTTACTTGTTAACCATCGTACACACACACATACGTACGTACATATCTCTGATGTGTGATGTGCTCTATGTCCACAATCCGTATCTCTAGCTCTAGCTCTAGCTCTCTCTCTCTCTCTCACTCTCTCTATTGTATCTATGTATCTTTTGCATCTCCTGCTTGATGGTGTCGCTACCGAAGGCAGGAAAACTTCATTTCCGCAAAACTAACTTTTGTTTAACATAACAAATTGTCTTGTTTGCCTTACGCATTTGTGTGTGTTTCTGAGTGAAAGTTGAGCCCCACTCAACTGTGGGGAGCTGTGGGCTGTGGACAGTGGGCGTGGCTGTTGACAGATTTTGCATAGCCACTGGAGAGATAATAGCTGAAATAGTGGCAGGGACACTGCTGCATCCTTGTCTCTTGGCAATTTTTGGTTAAATTCAATTTTCAATTCCTTTTCTGTTCTCGAAATAAATTGAATTTGGGCTCACAAAAAAAAAAACAAAAAGAGCTCAACAAAAAAAATAAATATAATTGTAAATTAAATTCGTTACATAAACGAAAATGAAAGAGAATTGCCCACACCCCGGTCTACCCGGTCACAGCTTTGAAATAAAACAATAAAAAATAAACGGAAATACACAAACACACACACACACACTCACACATGAGAGAAAGCGGATGTGGATTCAAAGCAAAGGAAGGGGGCAGATTGTGTAGAGAGAGTGGGAAGGGAGGGGCGATGGCACTCGAATTATATGCCACGGGGTGAGCCACAAAAATGTTTTCATATCAAAAATGAAATAAAACAAAATCCTCGGCCGATGCCGCTGCCGCTGCCGCAACAGCACCGCATGCTCTTCAATTACACTTTCGATTTTCCGATTCATGCACATAGATACATAGCACTAACACACACACGCACAGAGACACACACACACATATACGCACATTGGATACCACTCCAAATCCAAGCGGCAAATCTCGAAATCGAAAAAAACACCCGAAAATCAAATCCAAACACAAGCCAAGCGAATGGAAGCGAATGTCAGAATGGTAAGAGAGAGGGAGTGGCAGAGAGAGGAGTAGCGGAGTAGCGGAGTACAGAAATAGGAAGTGCCAGCAAATGAAATTGTATAAAAGGCAAGGCAGAAAATTTATTGCACAACGAGAACACAACACAGCAAAAAATGGCCAAGCACACACACACACATAGAGAGAGAGAGACAGGGAAACAAAAGTCCATGTTTTATTCAAGACATTTTTGATACCCAAAAGCCCCAATGCGAGCAGGGCAGAAATTCTTTAGGTTTTGGAGTTGAAAAGTTCTTAATATTCGCACTTAACACTACGATGGTAGGCTTGTAGGCTCACGCACGCAGATGAGCGCAAGTGCCATCTCTAGGATCTTTGCAGTAGATCTCCAGCTATCTCGGTCTGCCCTTCAGGCCGTTACTCTCACAGAGCACGAGCTTATTCACTTTCTGTTACGCTGCCTGCTCTCTCACTCACCCCATCAGATGATCTGATGATGTTCTTATCTTGTTCATTATTATGCCACTCACAATTCGTAGGAATAGCCTAGAACACCCTTAGCATACCCTTGAACTTCGACATATGTATGCACATATGTATGCACATATGTATAGTATATACCGCTATGTACTCGCCACCAAAAGAAGAAGAATAAAACTTGAACAAAACCCTCCTTCGTACATAGTGCAAATCAAAGCAACAACAAATTGGAAATGTATTGAGTACTCTACCCATTTCTCTCCCTCTCTCTGTGTCACTTTAGTGGCGTGCGTAGCTGTGGGGCAGCGGGCATGGGGCATGCCACCGACAATGTCTAAATCAAAAATCCAGCCAGAAGCCCAGAAGCAAAAAGCAAATCCCATTTTATCCGCAAACATAAATTGAAGGCGCATTCGAAGCTGCAGCCAGCGCCAGCTTCCAGCTCCATCTCCAGCTCCATGTCTCATGCGACATTCACTGGAGAAGAGAAAGCAAGTCAGAGATTTTTACTGTCTTCTGCTCCTCAGTTTTCCCTGGCTGCTGCCGCTGCTGCTCCTCCTCCTCCTTCCCTTCTCCTGCTACATTTTTCTTTTGCTTTTGTTTGCTGCGTAGCTGCTGTAATACAAATCATCTGTCTGTCTCTCCTTTGGGCCTGTGTGCGTCTCCATCTTTCCATCTTTCCATCTCTCCATCACAGTCCCAGGCGCATTGAATCGTTGAGTTTTGACTCGTGCCGGGCCTGGGGCGCCTTTACCATCTCGTTTTAAGTGCGAATGAAAGCTGCATGGGGCGCATGGGGCATGGGGCATAGAGAATGGACCAAGCGGCAGTTAGTTGCAGCCATAACTCAATAAACACAAATGCAAATTGCGCTCGCAGAGGAATCTCATGCGCATATCACACACAACGATGTGGCACAAACGATGCCTGCCAGTACCACAGCGCTGATAATTCCATGCCCCAAAAGGATAATGTGAGGCGGGGAGGGGCCAGAAACTTGGCCCTGCCCTAAAACCCAAAAACTAAGCCACGTACATGTGCAGGGGCATGGGCATGGGCATATACGAGTCCGTCCGTATCTTTGTATCCGTTTTCGGTAAATTTCAAATTGAAACTGATTTTGCTCCTTTGGCTTTTGTTGTACACACAAAGGGGCAAGGCAAGGGGTAAGGGCTAGCATGGGTTCAGCCCTTGTGCATATGGCTGGCTGTTGTGTGTGTTTGTCTGTGTGTGTTTATGGCCTATTTTTCGACAAAAGCAAATGTCAAGGCCCAGGCGACAAGCAAAACTAGAACGTTCTCTGAGCACTTTTTTGCAGTTAAATAGAGAATAATACTTAAAAAGTTGCTCCGAGAGTGATATAGTTAAGATGTTAATATGAAAATATTTGTTTTAAATATATGCATTTATAAAATAAATATATTTCATAATTACATTTTTTCCCCACAAATTTAATTTATTATATTTACATATTTTATTTTTTATATTGTCTAAAATCAATTTTATTTATTTAAACGTGTTTTTGTATTTATATGAAATATTTAACAGATTAAAATTTTCAATACTTTTTATTTAGTAAATTATGGTCTAAAAACAGAATTTTTAATATAAATATAGAAGAGTTTCTTTTGACTATGCTTTTCTGTAAGAAAGGAAAGAAACTTGTTTTAGAAATTCTTTTCTATAAAAATATATCATCCAAATCATCCAAAACTTTGGATTTTCTATGAAAAAGAATATTTTAGTTCGTTTCGAATTTAATTGTTTGTCGTGTGGATTCGAGTGGATTCGACCCCTTGTCTGAACATCCATCCCCCCTGAGGGTTTCCTGTCTGTGAGAGTTGCAAATGTTCGTCTTGTTGATAAGGGCTACTCTCCGGACGAACGAGAGGCCTGCCCCAAGGGGCCATGGGGCGTACTCCTTTTCAGCAGTGGCTAACGACTCGCAAAACTGTTGATGGTTGTAATTTGTGTGCCCTTCCTAATGTATGTATGCATCGGATCGGATCTGTGTGCCTCTGTGCCTGGCACCCCCCCCTCCTACCCAACCCGAAAACTCAGTTAATTAACAGGATCACACTTACACACTCCCTTTGCTCTGCAGGTCTCCTGCGCCTGCAGCAAATCTATCAGGGCCTGAAACCCGGCAACGAGTCCTTTCAAGTGGAGCTGGTCAAGCGCATCTCCAATGTCAGCATGGCCATCGAGTTCCTGCACACGCTGGAGCAAATCGGACGCTTCACCAGCAAGCACATCGTCCTCGACTGTCCCACGGAAATGGCCAAACAAATACTCATCCAGCATGTGCGCGATTTGCGACTGGGACGTCGCACCTATCACTATTTGCTGAGTGGTTTGGTAAGTTGCATGCCACCGCACTCCCACCACACCACACACCACACTCCGCACTCGCATCCCAAAAACCGAAACTTATTGCCATTGTCTTTCCTTTTGCAGGTCATGGACGATCGCTGGGAGAGTGAGATAATCGAATTTGGGGCCATTAACATTACAGGCTTTCGCATTGTGGATACCAATCGGCGGCTGGTGCGCGAATTCTATGACAGTTGGAAGCGACTGGACCCACAGATGAGTGTGGGGGCTGGCCGTGAATCGATTTCGGTAAGGGACACAAATGATACACACACACACATACACACACATGACCATGGGAGGAGTACCTCCAGTACCGTTGGGCATGTTAAATATTTGCTGGGGGATTTAATGTTTGCATCCGGAAGGGGCATAGCCATGTAGCATCTAGTTTGCGGCGCTTTGTCGCTTGCTCTGCGCTGTCTGTTTGTGTTCTCTTCTCTCTCTCTCGCTCTCCCTCTCTCCCTCTCCCTTTCTGTACTGCAGTCAAATAGCAGCAGATTTCACTTTTAGTGGAGGAGCAGGACTTGCAGTCAAAGGCACATGTGTCCTTGCTGTTCCGTTGTCCTTGTCATTGTTGGCATACTCACACAGATACACGCACGCACACACACACAGCTACAGAGCAGAGAAGAGGCTGCGTTTTGGTTTAGTTTGCGTTTGCGCTGGCTGTTTATATTTGTATTTCCTTGGCATTATCCTTGTTGACAAAGATTTCACTTTGTGGCGCTTAAATGTTGGTCGTCTGCTGCACGGACAGGCGCATGGGACAGGGCAGGCCAGGCCAGGCCAGGCATCCACCGGACGACACAGTCTCTCTCCGTCTCCATCGCAATCTCCGTCTCACGGTTCAGAGCAACTGCTGCTGCTGCTGCTGCTCTCTTTTGACCATGTTTATTTGACTTGACTGTGTGCTTAGGGGGGAAATTCACATTCAAGCCTTTGTGTGGCAGCATTCCCTTTCCCCCTTTCTCTCATTCTCCCATTCTCTCATTCTTTCGCATTCTCATTCTCTGTTTACCGAACATTCACTTTAAGAGCGCTGCCAGCGATTAAATATTAAATCAAAGTCGGGGTTTAATATGCGACACGTTTCGTAGATCAACGCTAAACCCTAACACCCGCTGGGAGGCCCTGTGTCTAGGCCCCCGCCGCTCCTTTTTTTTTTCTCATGGAATGAACAAGGTGGAAATTGGGTATGGTTGAAGGGTGGGAGGGAGTTGGGGCTGCTGCTCCCCAGAGGGCAATGGTTGGGAAAATTGTGAATAACACCGTGTAATGCACTCATTAAACCCCACAAACCCACCCTGTTCTATCTCCCCTTCCATTCTAGGCCCAGGCAGCTCTCATGTATGATGCTGTGTTCGTTCTGGTCGAGGCGTTCAATAAAATCCTGCGCAAGAAGCCGGATCAATTCAGGAACAATGTGCAGCAGCGTCGCAGCCAGAATCTAATGGTGGCCCAGGCGGCTGCTTCGACGTCCAACGATGGCTACAGCAACTACAACAATGCCAATGCCAGTGCCCACAGCGGTGGCGGTGGCGGTGGTGGCGGTGCTGCTGGTGGCATCGATTCTGGATCCAATGGCGCCTCCTCGTCGTCGCGAGCACTGGACTGTAACACGGCCAAGGGCTGGGTAAATGCCTGGGAGCATGGCGATAAAATATCGCGTTATTTGAGAAAGGTGAGTGTTAGAGAGGGAGAAGAGGATGATGATGATGATGATGATGTGACATCGATACCGAAAGCAATTAAAGACACACCCACACCAGGGGAGTGTATGTGCATGTACCTGTTGTAATCTCTCTCTCTTTTTCGCTTGTTTTATCCGCAGGTGGAAATCGAGGGCCTTACCGGTGACATCAAATTCAATGATGACGGCAGACGCATAAATTACACGCTGCATGTTGTCGAGATGACTGTAAACAGTGCCATGGTATGTACATATACCTCTCTCTCTCACCCGCTCACTTTGTGATCGGGCGAGTTTCTCGCAATGTTGTTGCCGAAAGAGCGAAAGAAGTGAATTGCGGCAGTTTGTATTGCGTGCAGGTAGGCGCAAAGAATGAGAAGTGCAGTCGCAGACACGATCCAACATGCAAAGAGAACATGCAAAAGCTCGTAAACAGAATCAGCCGAGTGAATCGCTTTGTTGGTAGCTTTTGCTGAGAGAGCAAAAGCAATTGCTGATAGAGTGTGTTCACGGCTTGTGAGAGCAAAGCAAAGCTCGCAGATGCTCTCTCTCTCTGTGACACATGCAATATTTATGGCCTCTACTTCTTCCTTTTTATGTTCGCACAGGTAAAAGTGGCCGAGTGGAATGACGATGCTGGGCTGCAGCCGCTGAATGCCAAGTATGTGCGTTTGCGTCCGCATGTGGAGTTTGAGAAGAATCGCACATACATAGTGACCACTGTGCTGGAGGAGCCGTACATAATGCTGAAGCAGGCGGCCTTTGGCGAGAAGTTGCACGGCAATGAGCGCTTTGAGGGCTATTGCAAGGATCTCGCCGAGCTGCTCTCCAAGGAATTGGGCATTAATTGTAAGTGAATCCAAGAGACGAGGCTCTTCAGCTGCTTAATCACCCACCCGCTCTGTCTCCACCTGTTCCACCCCCCGCAGATGAACTCCGTTTGGTCAAGGATGGCAATTACGGTTCAGAGAAGTCAAAGACCCACGACGGATGGGATGGCATGGTGGGGGAGCTGGTGCGCAAGGTAAGTGCCTCCTTCACACGATGCCAATGCGGCACGCTATCTCCCTGGTTGGTTGCAGACTCTCCATCCTCTTCTCCCCTATTCTGTTCTGTTCTGTTCTGTTGCAGGAAGCGGATATTGCGATTGCCGCCATGACGATTACCGCCGAACGCGAACGTGTCATCGACTTTAGCAAGCCGTTCATGTCGCTGGGCATTTCCATCATGATTAAGAAGCCAGTGAAGCAGACGCCCGGAGTGTTCAGCTTCATGAATCCTTTATCACAGGAAATTTGGGTGCGTATATGCCAGAGAGAGAGAGAGAGCCGGAGAAAGATAGAGTTGTATTCCTGGCTGCTCCTACAACTTCCTTCACTCTGCTTGCCCCGCCCCTATTGCACTCTGCTTCATTGGCGCTCAGCGAAGCATTGCACACAGCAAGGCATCTCAATCTCCAAAGGATGCTCTCAAAAGATAGTGCCGCGAGTCCCTTACGGACTCTGTTTGTCCCTGCAGCATAGTTTGTCCCTTTGGGTTTTAATGAAGATTTAGTTGCAACTATTGATATTTGAAAGTAAAACATCGCCCCCACCACCACCCCCCACCGCACGCGCATCTTGTTTCTGCCTTTGGATTTCTAATTATTTCCTGTGCTGTCCTGTTCGGCTCATGCCACTTCGCGTACAAACGTGCCGCACAGCCCGTAGAATGTGTTTATTTTTACTCGCGTAACGAGTCAAAATGTTGCTAAAATTGCGCTGCATACAAATGAGTAAAGTTTTTTAAACAATTTCTTCTTTCATTTCTGAGTTGCGCCTGGCTCTGCCGCCGCCGCCAATTCTTTTTCTCCCTCGATTTTCTGCGTGCTCCTCGGACAAAGTTTGCGGCCTGCAAAGTTTGCGACTTGTATATTTATTTCTTCTGGTTTCTGGCTTCAACTTGGGCTTCAGCAGCAAAACTGCTGCGCTGCCGCCACGTAAGCTGCTGTGTGCTGCTGCTGCTCTGCTCCCCCCCCGAAAGTTTAATAGAGTAAACGACAAAGTTTTTTGTGCTTTTGCCACTGCCACTGCCTTTTTTTTGTGTTATTTTTTTTTTGCTCTTACATTACTCGTATAAACAGTGGAAAGTGGCAGGACCTAGGCAGAAGAACCTGCAGCAGGGGGCACGAAAATTACGTGGCCGTCAAGTTTTAAATTTTACGCTAGTCTCTCCGTGTCCAAAGTTTGGCTGTTGGAGCTCGAAGGAGCTGTTTAAACAAATGGCAAACCCATCAAATTTGTATGAGCATTTAGTTGATGTTTATGTTGCAGCAAGGCCCTAAGGCTGGCAGTAGTAGTAGTAGTAGTAGTGGCAGCAACGATACTAGGACCTGGAACTGGTGGAGGGGGCAAGCGGACAGACAATTAAACACATTAGCGGATGGGAATGGGGATGGCTTCCGCGCCCTGAGATCCGATCCATTCCCTAATGCGCTGTTATGACGATGCTGGCTGTTAAAATTACGCAAAAAAATGCATAAAACAAACAGCAGTCGAAACGTAACTCGACACTAAAATACCATGTGTTTGATTTGTATTAAAAGTGCTTGTATTTCCAAATCTAAACGAATTAAATATGCCCCTGAATACTCCCTTTGAGCATAGACAGCGTCACAGTAGCTTCGCTTTGAGGTGCCGGGTTGAAGGGTTCTTTTTTTTGTGGGGACAAATCTCAAAGAGTGTTGACAGCGCGACAAACGCAAAATTAAATGATAATAAAATTCACAGGGAGAGCAGGGAGAGTGAAAGTGAAAGCTAATGCGTAATTTGACATGAGCTACAAAAAAAAATTACAAATGCAAATTAGTTTCGAGATGGGGAAATCAGAGTAGGCAGACGCTGAGAGGGTAAAGGTTTGGGTTTTGGGTTTTGTGTTTGGGGGCCAAAAGGCAGCGGCAAAAGGGCGCAAAAGTTAACAAGCTAATAAAAAAGTCTTTTACAAAAATTTATCATAAATTAAATGAAGCATTTTAGCTGCTGCCACACACACACACACATACATACATACATGAAGATGCTGAATGGAAGGAGCACAGGACATATCCTCATACAAGGCTGAAAAGCAGGAAGGAACAATCATTAGGAGTAGGAGTAGGCATAAGGATGTATGTGTGTGTGTGTGTGTGTGATGCCATTGAGGCATATGAAAGCAGCAGCAGGAGCGACAAAGCGACAAGGACACACCTTTCGCCTTCAAGCTCACACAAAGGAAGCCGCTCTTCCATAGCAGCCATTCAGGTGCTGACAGCAGGCAGACACCCCGCCCCCTGCCACACCCCCCCCCCCACACACCTATAAACACAGTGGCAACAGTTGCTCCAGACAGTAGCTGGTGCCCTCCTCCTGTCAATGTCCTTGGGCCCGGGCATTGTCATGGCCCCCTCCAATGCCCACCCCACTAGCATCGTCGCACCATTAGGTTAATGTTTCGTTATTTTCCTAGGGAAACCCCTGCACCGTTCCGCTTCCGCTTCAATTAGTTAAGAAAATTTAATGGAAAATATCATCAGAATTTTCAGCCACACACACAGCCAGAGAGCAGCCAGGCAGCAGCTAGGTGGCCGCCTCTCTGCATGTTTCACCGTTTGCCACAAGGATCTCATGTTCTTGGCTCTGCTTTACTTTTATTTTTCAACAGGTGAGCGTCATCTTCAGCTACATTGGAGTGAGCATCGTGCTGTTCTTTGTGTCACGCTTCTCGCCACATGAATGGCGTCTCGTGCAACAGCAGCCGCAACAATCACAGTCGCCAGGTGAGTGTACACTGTACAGGTGTGCCGTCCCACTCCCCACAGGACAGCAGCTGCGAGCGAGCGAGCGATGGAAGGATAGAGTTCCAGAGGGGGTGGCAAAAAATTCGTATAAATTTCCTGCGTCTGTTTGAATTTTTGGGAACTTTTAGACTTGGACTTGTTTTGCATTCAATTTTCATTTGATTTTCATTCGAAACTCAATTATTTCCATGGAATTTTCATGCTGGCAATCAAAGGACAGAAACGGGAGTCACACTCTGGACAGACAGACGGACGGACGGAGAGACGGAGAGAGACCCGTCGAGTGCTCTCATAACAATCTACTCCACACATATCCTGCAAAACACATCCTTAATGTAATTTTAGCGGGTAAAAGTAAACAACATTTGGTATGCAGTCAGCGTATTACACACAGTGTAAAAAGCGAGAGAATAGACAAACGGAGGGACCGCCTGAAAGGATATACCAAGTGAAAAATAAAACCTGTCATGGCAGGATGGCAGTACATACATGTACATGAATGGGAAGCCCATGCTAGAAGCAGAATCAGCATCCAGCATCCAGCAGCAGACAGGACGAGGCAGGAATGTCATCATTGCTCTCTGTGGCACTCAATGGCTTTGCAATTGAAGCAAATGGGTGGAAGGAACAGAAACAGGGGAATAGGCAAGGGGTAGCGGTGGGGGTAGGGGTAGGGGTGTACTTGGAGACTTGGCTATGGGTTTGATTGCATATCAATTAGAGCAGAGGCGCAAAAAGCCAAGAATCCAAACGAAATGATTGAAAGTTGGACAGTCGACATGGGCACGTACTGCTGCTCGTCCTCCTCCTCCTCATCCACCTCCTTTAAGCACCCGTTTGCCCTTCCTGCGGTTTCATTTTGTACATACCTCTCTTCACCTCTCTGCTCACTATGTCCTCTCTCTCTCTCCACTCCACACAGATCCGCATGCACATCACGAACAACTTGCCAATCAGCAGCCGCCCGGCATCATTGGAGGTGCAACCGGTCCGATGCCAGTGCCAGCAATGCCACCCGGCCCGCCCACACCTGGGGCCCAGTCGGCAGCCGGTGCCGCTGCCCTGCAGGCGGCCCTCTCCGCATCCGCAGCTGCATCCGTTTCGGTGACCGGCGTGTCGTCGGCAGTGAATGAGTTCAGCATTTGGAACAGCTTCTGGTTCTCATTGGCCGCCTTCATGCAGCAGGGATGCGATCTGTCGCCCCGTTCCGTTTCGGGGCGGATTGCGGCCGCCTCCTGGTTCTTCTTCACCTTGATACTCATCTCCTCGTACACGGCCAATCTGGCGGCATTCCTCACCGTCGAGCGCATGGTGACGCCGATCAATTCGGCCGAGGACCTGGCCATGCAAACGGAGGTCCAATATGGCACTCTGTTGCATGGCTCCACCTGGGATTTCTTTAGGGTGAGTGAAAGCAGACAGCAGCACTGACAGCATTTGCCCTTTGCCCCGTGCCCCTGAGGCTGGCTTGGCTTGGTTTGGCCACTCCAAATGAATGCCTCATTGAGTGGCAGTCCGGAGAAGTGAAATTAATTTTCTTTACCTCACATCACACACACACACACGCACACACGCACAATACAGATGCCAATAAAAGCCATTAAAATTTGTGAGCTGTGACGGCGGCGGCTGGCTGGGGGCAGCCTTTTCAGATAAGGATTAATTTGCGATAAACAAAACAAAACAAAAAAAGAATAATAAAAATATAAAAAGCAATTTGTCTGCGACCTCCACTCGTCGCTCCCCTTTCTCTCCTCATCTTTAGTCGCCTTCAAATCCATGCTGAAATGGAAAAAAAAAAAATTAGAGTCAATTCAATTTGTTGTTGCTGTTATTATTCTTCTTTTTCATGTCTCTTATGGCTACATTTATTTGGAGAATGCTTTTAAGCACACTTACGCTCTGCTGCCTAGCTGCCTGCTGCCTCATATAAGCAGACATATAAATACAAAATATACAGCAATTGGCATATGAATAGCAACCCATTTGGCTTTAAGTTTTTTTTTTTCGAATTTCCCTAATCGCAAGCATCTCAGTGCTTGTGTGTGTGTGTGCCAAGATTTTCTACCTTTTTCTCAACGTTTTCCTAAAATGTCTGCATGTTTCGCTGTCTCTCATTTCCCGTTCGCAGCGCTCCCAAATCGCACTACACAACAAAATGTGGGAATATATGAACTCCCGGCCGAACGTCTTTGTGCATACCTACGACGAGGGTATCAGACGCGTGCGCACCTCCAAGGGCAAGTACGCCTTGCTGGTGGAGTCACCCAAAAACGAATATGTAAACGCCAGGGAGCCGTGCGACACAATGAAAGTGGGCCGCAATCTGGATACAAAAGGATTTGGCATTGCCACGCCGCTCGGCTCTGCCCTCAAGTGAGTATTGGCGCAGGGAAGGGGGTAGTGGGTACGGAGAATGGGCTTCAGAAATTGATGCCACATCTAAAAGGGGGCACGGCACATATCTAACAAAAGGAACGGAAAATTCTCTATTCAACAGGGATCCCATCAATCTGGCCGTGCTCACGCTCAAGGAGAACGGAGAGCTGATCAAGTTGCGCAACAAATGGTGGTACGACAAAACGGAATGCAAGACGGACGGCCAGGAGGCATCGCACAATGAACTCTCGCTGAGCAATGTGGCCGGAATATTCTACATATTGATTGGCGGCCTACTCGTCTCTGTGCTGGTGGCCATTCTCGAGTTCTGTTTCCGTCGAAAGGATGGCCGTTCAGCGGGTAGCGGTGGCTCCAACGGGCATGGTCCTATGGGCACCCTGGGCAGTGCCATGGGCGGTGGCAGCCTGGGCAAGGCCAATGGCTCTATGATGCTCCATGGACAGAATAGCGCTGGAGTGCCGGGCGTAATGCCGCCGTCCACACATCAAAGGAGCTCCCTGACGGACACAATGCATTCGAAGGCGAAATTGACTATCCAAGCGAGCCGCGACTATGACAATGGACGAGTTGGGGTAGGTATTGGGGGAATGGGGAATGGGGATCTCTCTTTCTCTCTCTGCATGTATTTTTAACGCACATTCAGCAACGTTCAGTGATTATGATGGCAAGCCAGCTATGTCTATGTACTAATCCACGCACAGTATCTCAATTGCGCCTCGTTGCAGTACTATCCACCCGCCCAGCTGTCATCGAACCCTGGCGCCGATGGCGTCGAGTCCCTGCACATGAATGCCCATGGCCAGGTCTGACATGAACACGCGCAGGAATCGCGCCTCTGACGCACACCCTGCGCGCCCACAATCCGTCGTATTATGGCCAACAGTCGCCAGGACACGGAAAAGATGATGGTAGGAGCGGGAACGGGAGCGGCACCTACTGCAATCAGCTGCAATAGCAGCCACGAGGGTAGCCTATCGCCGGGCAGCGGTAGCGCCACTTTAATGCGCCACTCGCCGGACATCAACCAGCAGCAGCAGCACCAGCAGCAGCAGCAGCAGCAGCAGCAACAGCATCAGCAGCAGCAGCAGCATCCCTATGGCAAGTAAGGACTCCCAAACGCCTGTAGCTATTAAGTGACATGCAGCCGCATCCTTTTGCTGCCTACTTTCGCGGGGGATGGGGGTCGGGGGTCAATATCCGATACGGATATTAATCTTTGCACAAGTGCGAAAACGCATTACACAATAAATTTCACTAACACTTTATTTATGCGTGTGGTGTGGTTTGGTTTGGTGTGTATTTAAGGCCGCTGTGCAATCATTTGGCAAATTCTTTTAGCCTGTCAGCAAAAGGCAATGTCGGGGCATATAAATTATTGCATTACTGTTAGCAGTTGTTGGGCCTAGAAACACGGGTGGCGAGACATGGGGGAGGGGAAAACATGCCAACAAATAACATAAATATATTCACATCTGTGTACGGATATGACACATACTCCCCTCGAACGTACGTACATACAAACATATAAATATACATATATATAGGACATACATAATGCAATGCAATTCATTGCATTCAAATGACTGATTAATATTTTTAATAAACAATAACAACAAATATGCCCCACACACTCTCAACACTCTCAATAGCTAAAAGGGAAAAAATAATGGAAAATGTGTGGGCATATAAAAAATGGGATATAAAGTGGCTCATAACGGAGGGATTTCCATCCATTTTTTTGTTTGTTTCGGGATTTGTTGTCGCATATTTGTTTATAATTAAATTACAGAAAACACACACACACACGCAAACAAACTCACAACAAAAAACTAATGAAAACAAGAAGTGTCGAATTGGCGAGGCGTTGTGGGGGCATCCTACATAAATATTGTAATAAATTAATTAGCGCTAAATAAAGAAAATAGTTTAAGCCCATAGTTCTGATCCATGAATGAAAAAAAAGCAAAAAATATTACAACAAATGGCCAGGCAGCACAATTTTTAATTAAATTTATTTTAATTGAAATTGTTTTGATTTGATTTGAGAGGGCAGCGCGAGAAAAGTGAGATGATTTTGCAGACAGATTTATGGGATTTCGTTTTGTTCCACATAAATAACCACAATTCAATAGGGGTCTCGGGCATTCTTGCTGGATTCTTTTCTTCGTCGTTGCGGCCACTGCATGGCAGGAAGGAAAGGCAGGGAGAGCGATAGTTTGTGTTTGGCACTTATTTGATTCTCTTTTATTGCTAATTTTTTTTTTTTCTATTTAATTTTGTATATTAATTGAATTTGTTTGTGATTTAATTTAATTTAAACAGCAAAAGTGAAATTTTTCACAGGGATTATTTTTAATTTGTTTTCCCCAATTCTCCTGCCCATCCCTCTACCCCCTTTGTAGCAGGAAAGTAGCAAGAATATCTACTAACTATTAGGCTTAGTTGTAGGCTAGAGAATAATGTTTGAATTGTAGGGAAAAAATCAAACAAACAACAAGAGCCGCATACTTCCGAGCAGCCGAACAGGAGACATCGTAGCCATAGCCATAGCCATTAGCCGTAATACCATTACGAGTGTAAGTGTAAAAAAAACAAACCATAATTGTAGTTAAATTTTATAGACTATTTAGCATACACTTTGCCTGTAAATAACACATAAATGAGGATGATCTCTGAATGGGGGACGAAAAGCATAAGACAGAGATGCTACCATTAAAAAAAAAGAAAAAGGAAATGATCAAGTCATATCAAAAGACATTAAAAATGGTACTAAGTTTATCAGAAAAAGAAAATAACATAAATAATGAGTAAAAGAATAAATAAATGAAAAGAACTATTGTAAAATATTTATGAATTAATGAATTTATATTGTTGTTAGCTCAAATTTACTTATGTATGTATGTGTGTGATGGGAAACCATCTCCAATTGATGGTATGCCGTTTTCTTATGTATTTCTGGATATTTTTCGGCTGGCATAAATGTTTTATAAGCAAAAAAAAAAGAAAAAATAAACAGACAAGACGAACGTTGCAGGTAAATTGCATTTAAAATACATTTTAGTTATTTAATCTAACAACCAAAATCAAAAACTCAAATCAAACAAAGCCGCTAAAGTGCATAAATAAATTTAATCTCCAATCGCAAAATGCAAAGAACACACTCTACCAAGAGATACATACATACATACATATATATATAGTGGGTATATATGTATATCTGTGTGTATTGTATATGTGCCAGAATAAATACCTATAAATATAAATGGTGAAAACTGTGTCTAAACAAATAGATGCTGGTCATAGAAATAGAGTACGAATCAAATCAGATAATAAATCCAATCCCAAAAACCAAAGCCAAAAACCAATTGACACGAATTTGAATATTGAAAAACAAAAAAAAAAACACAGATGCAAAAATAAAAAACACCTAATATTAAAAAATCATAGACCGTAAGATGAAAAACTAAATTCGTTAAGAATTTTGCGTTTTAATTGAGAAGATTCTTGGCTCAATGTAGAATTGATGTGTGTATAAATTTCAGTTTTATTTGTAAAATATTACCAAAGCAAACAGCAACAACACAACAGATGCAGAACACATGGAAATAAGCAGAAGTGGGGTACATTTGATATATTTATTAATATTTAGCAAACATATTGTTATCGTATTGCATTTAAACTGCCACAAAAAGCGGCAGGGCAGGCAGAAAGAGAAGCGAACTATTCCGAACAGTGAAGAGAGTGCTGTCATGCCATAATGAAGGTAAACAAAGAGCAAAAATACAAAGCAAATAAAACTAGCATATAATAAACATTTTAAACGCTTCGTTGTTTCATTTAAGTGGGGTTGCCAGGGGTGGGGTTCCATGAATCCAGCTGTTGGATGAATTATTCATTCATTCACTCATTTGCTGCTCTTCGTGCTCTGTCTGGCGATTCGTTAATCCGAACGTATTAAGACAAATTTGGTTGAGTAAATAATCCCAGTGGCAACACTGACTTGGGTGGCTTGAAAGCATTTGCACAAATTGACGGTTGACCGCATTTGCCACATGCGGCAACTAAGAGAGATTCCAAGGCATACACACACACCCACAGCAGCAGTAGAACAGCAGCAGAGATGCCTTTATTATGAGGTAGCCGTGTGGGCAATGCAGTGACATGGCCATGTCCCAACCATCCACCCACTGCCTTCTACAACTTCCACTCGCAGTCTCCACATCCGCATCCATCCTGCCACGTCTAGGCCTTCTCTACTGCTGCCTGATTTTGGGTTAAACTATTTACAGGACGTTCTCCAAGGGGTGTGCTCCGTGTGCAACATGAACTAAATGCGTTTGCGGTTGAATTGCTGTTGCCTTGCCGTTTGTTTTGCTGCCACACCACTGCCACTGCCACACGGCCACAACCAACTCCATTGCAACATAATTAGAAAGCGGGGAACGCTGCTGCCGCCTGGCAAGACGGAAGTCATGATTCATGAGTGCCTGCACACGCCGCAGTAATTAACACACAAAACATCCCAGTAGGCAGTAGGGCAGACCAGACCAGACCAGACCCCAGACCAGAACCAGTCACAGTCGACTGGCGACTTGCTCAAGGATGGCCCGTGTTTGCTTAGAGGCCACTGAAGACCTCAAAAAGATCCACATTCACACAGTCACATTAGCATAGAAACCACCGCCCCTCCCCCAAGTAGCCCTTGGGGTATGAAATTTTCCATTTGACAAGTGCCAAAGTTGTGCCGTCATAAAATTAGCGCCGTTTTTAACTGTTTTCCCAACCCACAGAAGGGATGCGATGGGAATGGAAAATGGGAAATGCGAATGGCCAATGGTTGGGTCGGGTCGAACCTCAAGTATCCCTTTCCCTAGACACCCTTTCTACCCCACACCCCCCACACACGCACTAAGCAAATAAGGAAAAGGACAGCAGAAAGTGGAGTCATAAAAAGCAAAACCCAAGAAAACTCCAACTAAGGATGAGCGCGTGAGTATCAATGAACGTTTCGGTACACTGAGAAAAACGTAAAGGCATGCTCTTAGCAATGTATTTGAGCTTGGTGTTTACGTTTACATTATCACACCCTTGGGGCGGGGGGTGGTAAGTGCATCTATTGATCTACTTGCAAATGCAAAAATATTTGTCACATAAACTATATTATAAAGCCAAATATAATTTGATTTATTATGTGTTCGTACTGTAAATAAAAACTCAAATTATATCTCTCCATTTAGCTTTATTTCTGTAGGATTAAAAGATCCGATACAAAACTTAATTCTCGTTTCTGCTTATCTAGAGTAAATCTTAGTTGCACGCTTAGAGACTTTTGAATACTTTCAGACCCATCCTCCCTCCCTGCCATTCCAATTCATTGTGCCACAAAAACAAATGAGAACCCAAATGTGCACTGGCATTTCCCCTCGTTCACCAGCGACAGTCCCGCAGTCCAGCAGTCCACAGGCAGTCAGTCGTCCACTCGAGCGTTCTGTGATGAAATGGCAAACATTTCGGCGTGGCTCGACGACCATTTCTCATAGCAAAAGTAAATAGGCAGCCGGGCCGAAGGGCGCAGCTTCGATGACTCTAATCGATCAAAGGGAAACGCCAAATCAATTGCCAGTAGCGCCGCCTCTGACTGCCAGCATGGCCCAACCGCCATGCCACGCCCTGCCCTGCTGGAACCATGGCCAGCACAGAGGCATAGGCAGCAGCAGCAGCAGCAGCAAGAGGCAGCGAATCACTTACCATAATGAGGGCCTAGATGGTCCGTATGCTGGAATACGTGCTAATAAATCTGCCCGAATGT